GCAATAATCGAATAGCAAGACTGCAAAAATGATGAACTTTTAGTCAGATAATTACATTGTGTAATTATGTTAGTGTGTGTGTAATTATGTATGTGTAATTGTGTATGTTAGTAAATGTTAAACAACTGGGTCTCTTTAAAAAAAAGAACAAAAGCTTATTTGTAGCTTTTGTCGATATCCATGGTGTAAATATCCCTACCATGGCGGATTTCAAGCTACTGACATGAAGTCACTGAACTGGAAGTTGGAAAGAGATGTGCAAAATTGGCATTTGTGAGTTGGCATAAGCCAGTTCCAGCTGATTTTGTCTTATGAAACAGATACAGTGCTAGGCCCAGTAAAATTCCTTATTAGAGTGTTCTAAGATTTCTGAATTATAACCCATCATTAGGTAATGGGTAGCCATCTTTTTAGCATATCTGTTACCCAAATTTACATTTTCTAAACTAAGGAAACAGAGATTCTGATCTGAAGCGTGATCATCTAGGACTAGAAATAGAGCTTATGGAAAAGAGTATGGACAATGAAAAATGTTGGAGGCGTGTTGGGAGAAATTAAATCCCTGTGGCCAAGAACAACAGTTTGATTCGGATATAAAACTATGGAAGCCAAGAACTGACTCTGTAAAAACAATGTACAACAACAAAATAGCTACCTAAATGAGATATAAAGCACAGACAAGAGAGGTAAATACAGCTTCTGGAGAACACAAACACAAAACAATAAATGTTAACAGGAGAGGAAAAGGCCAGGGCTATAACCATAGTCTTCCAGGCTAATCTTTTTTCACATTTCCTGGAAATTAGTGGTAACTCCTCTATATCCTTGGAAGGAAATGAATGTAGGAGGCCTGTTTTTCTGTATTTGCCTGTCTTCCTTTCTATGGCATATTGCCTCGTGTTCAGGATACATATCTCATTCCTACCTTAAATGACCGTGAGTTTTGCACTGATGTAGTCAGTAATAGCTTTTTCTCTTCTATTTCATTCATACATTGGTTCATTCATTTAACAAGCATATGCTGAGCTTCTCAGAGACTTGTCGCATTCTTAATTTTGCCTCTTACATTTAGAGCTGAGTTTTGTCATGAAAATGCATGCTTATTTTCGTAATGTATTCCAAGAGGAAAATAGATTTTTGTATATAGATCTTCACTAAAGCACGTCATGTGTAAATCATGGGACCCCTTTATCTTTATGAAGTCAGCGCTTAAGCCTCTTTACAGCTATTGATCTGGAGAAGCTATATACCACAGCATTTCTAAAAGTTTGAGTGACAGCATCCAGGAGATTTACTGTGTTGGCAAATTTTTATAGATTAGGATCTTATATTTAACATTGCAATGAAGCAACCTTTTGAAAGGAAGTCTTCAGAATCAGGACTATCTCTGTTCCTATTTCCATCCTTCTCTCAACCAAGAAGGTAACTCTCCTACCAGAGTGAAATGATCTGGCCAGGAATTCGAGATACTACTGTCATTCTGTGAGGATGTGGAGGGAATGTCTTGGCCCTGTTCCAGAAGCCGTTGCCTCTTTATATATATAAGAAAGGGTCTGCCTGCTGTCCTTCTCTTCTGATACCTTTACCCATTCTAGAGATTGAGGTTAACTCTGGAACTCTCAAGGCAAGACATAACCCCAAGGACGGGGTGAAAAATGTCAGCCTTGAAAATACTATTGGAGAAAATGAGTTGAGTGATCTGTGTATCTGGATTGGTTGAAAAGGGCAAGAGTCCCACAGTCTTTTGGCTGCTGTGATTCCAGCAGCTTCCATAGTTTGCAGAACATGTTGATTTTTGTGGCTTTAACCATGAGATTTCTAGATGACGTAAGCTTCAGATTCAAAAAGAGCCCTGATTGCTGAGTGCTTTGTTCAGACAGGCCTGTCAACAGCTGAAGTCTGTTTCCCAGTCACCCACGGCTGCACTGCATTGTTACAATCCCAGCTTCAGTGAGCCTTTGAAGCCTTCCTTCAACCCTCAAACAACAGCTTCTAGAGTAGCCTGCTGTCTCGGTGTGCTGTGTATGTCTTACCCAGCACAGCTGCAACGAATCTAGTTGAAATGTTGCTGGAATTACTGTGTGCCAGATGACACTGACGAACTTGCTCTAAATGTCAAATGTCACATCTGCAAGGCCCAGCGCTCACAGTTGGGCTGAAAGCCAGACACCAGCCCCCCAGATTCATTCCACATGTATTTACTGAGTGCCTGCTATGAGTCGGGGACTGCAGCTCCAGTTTGTTGACTGCCACTCTGCCTCCCAGGCTACCTGTTCGTCTTCTTGATTTGGTCACTTGAGCCTCACTCAATTAGAGCATCACAAGTGAGAATTCCAGGCAGTTTACAGTCCCAGTTTGCTGAAAGGATTGCCACCAATACAGAATGCTCCAGCTGCCCTATAAATATAGACAGTGCTCCAGTCGAAAGCACTATACTTTCATTGTATGGAGTGGGAGACCTAAGTTCTAGTCTTGGCTCTACCATTGTGTTACTTTGGTCTTGGCCTCAATTTCCTCATCTGTTAAATGGGCAGAGTGGTTTGGATGGTTTTCAGCTCTGACATTCTTAGTTTGGACTGTAAGCATTCAGAAGTTGTTTAGAAATTATAATTAAGTAATTTTGTGAACTGGCCTGTCATGGTTTAGGAGAGTAGGGGAGAAAACCCTCTCTTTTTCCCTTGGCAGAGAAAATTGGACAGTATTTTGTTCCCATCACCATAAAGCAACTAAATTCAAAAGAACCCAAAACAATCATACTTAAACAGCAAGTTAAAATGGCTGCACTACATTAACACACTTTTCTTCACTCAGCAAGAGTTCTGTTTCAATCTATCACTTCCAATATTGCAGCAGCATGTTTCAGCCCAGTTAGGTTAAGTAGCTACAGTGATTTTGAAAGCACTAATGATTCTTATGTGGCGACTGCAAATGCCCTAGGTAGAATCTAGCCAGAGCCTGGCTCTGAAGCTGCTGGCTCTTAGGTGGGCTTAAAGGCCCCACACATTTAGCGGTGGCAACATGCCACAGGTGGCTCCTAATGAATTCAGTCATTTTTGAGCTCATGGGCAAAAGGATAACTGTGGCTCAGAGATTTATGGGCCCAGGAGCTCCTCCCTCTACCACAGGAAAGACCAATCATAGCAGGTGTAAGGCCACTCCCCCATCGCTGCCTTTGTAAGGGCTGGTCTCCATGGTAACAAGGCCAGAGTGGCTCCCTTTTACCAATCGCGGAGTGTTGGGGCTAAAGACCTTAAGTCATTCAAATTTGAAGTAACATATTTCCATGTATGAATTAGTATCCTCCTTAAACCTACAGCGGACGATTACAGTGTCTCCTCTCTCTTTCCCTCCGTTAGGCAACAACAACAGAACTGATTTCTTTTGTTTGTTGCGGAAACCTCCATCCCACTCATCATTTTTATTTAATATGGCCTCCTTTCATGATACTCAATACAAGACTAATTCCTACTCTGGAATAAACATGGATTCAGATTCAGCTAAATTTACTGAGCATCTATTGTGCAGTAATGTAGTAGGCACTGACAAGGCAATTTACGTACATTATTTTAGTTAACTCGTAAGATATATAAATGTGGATTCCAATTTAATGAAGACTATTGGTGTTTGGCATACAATAATCATTCCTTGAATATTTATTGGATAAAGGAATGAAAGAACATGAACTCACAGGGTATCAAGGTCAGCGTCCTGTTAAACTCTCTTATTATAATAATGGAGAAATCAAAGCCAAAATGTGGAATGACTTATCCAAGGCCATAGTCACAGCTATTTAGACTCAATTCTGTCCCAGGTGGATCTGGACCACTGTCCCCTCCAGGACCCAGCACACATTGCCTCCTATGAAAGCTAGGTGATAGCAGAGCACCACATTTCTGCTGTGTTGTATTGCACTTGGACCCATTCTTCTGACTGTTTTGTTGAATGTAGTGTTTGAATGATTCAACAAGAAACACTTTTTGAGAAATTTAAAAATACATTTATTGATACTTATGTTTGAAAGACTAAAGTAAAAATGTATTAACTAGAGTAACTCGAAAGAAATCAGCAAGAATGAGGCCTGGCTGGGGGTGAGGTGAGGGCAGGGATAGCAGCAGCGTGGTGGGTCAGAGTGGTCCAAAACGTGATTTTGTCACTAGTTGCGCATGTAATCAAATACAGGGTAACTGATTCACATCAACCAAATTCACAAAAAGCCGAGGTCTGAACCAGAACATCAGTTTATTAATTCATAGAAGGAAATATTCTAACAGATCGAAGTACATGTGTTGGTTGGTCAGCAACCCTCTAGAAAATTCAATATGTATAGAAGGCCTAACTATAATCGAAAGTTGCTTGGTGAGCATGGAAGCAGAAAAGGTGGAGTTAGTTGGCTCATTGGAATGAGCTATGTCTGTGAACTTGGTGCACCCTTCTCCGCTGTGGGGATACACCAGTTAAGGAGACATGATGCTCATGTTCTCTGGACTGGGCAACTTCTTCTTTAGCCCTGGACAATACTGGAGACACACTGACGAATTCTTCCTTGAAGACTCTACTAGTTCTAGATTGCAAACTGACTGTTCTCCTCTTTCTGTTAACATGATTTTAGATGGGGTACGATATACCTGGGTTGATCTCAGCTTTCTTAGTTACATGACATGCCAGTTTGCCTTCATGGACCCATCTCTAGTCAGATCTCCGTAAAAACACAATTACAAGCTCTTAGGGAACTATTGTGATGGGTCATTCCTTCCATTATGTATTTTAATAACTTTACTCTCTGTGAGGAACTTTTCCCCCAAGTTCTTCAGGGACCTTACTTCATCCCTATGCTCTGAAAAGCAAGTCTAAGACCAAATTGAAATGCTTGTGTAGGGAAAAGTGGAGAGAGGAGACAGAAAGAGAAAAACTGATTTGGAGATTAGGAGCTGGAAAAGATGCAGATGCAGGAAAGATGCAGGAATAAGGATACACAAAAAGTAGTGTTTCTGATGAGTTTTAACCTGTCAGCTGCTCCTGTGTTCTTCCTATCATCTGAGTGTGGTGCTGGCCTTGTGATGGACTAGACCAAATATCCTGGATACAGATCTAATAAATTTTGATGTTTTGGTGGGAGATGTAAGAAAGATCTAGAACATGGAATGCTGCTAAGGAGGGAAAATCAGGAAGTTGCCCCAGTAGAGAAACAATGCCTGATGGGCAGGAGGAAGAACTTTTAACTTCACAATTTTGTCAAGGGCTGGACCTGTAGGAATGGTCACAATTTCCTTTCACAGTATATTTCTCTAGTGATTACATTTTCTAATCTACTTATTCTAGTAAAACATGAATTCTAGATAGACTTCTCCCCGTAAAGAGAAAAAGCAATATTCATAGAATGTATATGTTCAAATCTAATGAGATGGGAAAGTGATTTGTTAGTAAAGGACCTTGTCCATTTTCAATCCCAAATATGTCAACCTTGGACATACATTTTTCTTTAAGTGAGCTTTGTTTTTTCCTTAATCCAGTTGACATATCGGGATACCTTGGTATATATTCCGTATTTTCCTTTCACTGCACACTCTTCACCCCAGCTAATAATTCCAGTTAAGAAACTGGTGCCTTCCACTTCAGTAACATGGGGTCCACCACTGTCTCCTTGGCATGAATCTTTACCTCCCTCATGGAAGCCAGCACAGAACATGTTATTATAGATGGTGAACTTTGTGGACCGAAGGCACGTGGCTCGATCAACAAGTGGAACTTTAAGGTACTGAAGAATTGAAGCTGATCTCCCTCTGTGGAAGACTCTCCCCCAGCCACTCACATAGCCAGATCCAAATTTGAGGAAGATGGTCGTGTATTCCCTGTCAGCAATGCAAATAGGTGTCACATAGCTATTTAGTGTTAAGGGTTTATCCAGTTCCAGAAGGGCAATGTCATGGTTGTATTTGTTAACAGTTGCATTGTAGCTGTGGTGAGGAATAGCACGAATCACATTTCGTGTCTGCTCTGTATGATCTGTCTCCTCAGTATTATGTTCACCTATTGAAAATAAATTTTTCAGTCACAGTCTTTTCCATAAAGAAACACGTTTTCCAAGTGTTCACCTAGCATAACTCACATAACTGGCAGCTTATGTTCACCCATTGAAAATAAATTTATCTTCAATCACAAATAGTCTTTCACATAAAGAGATTTTCCAAATGTCTACTCAGTATCACTGAATTAACTGGCATCCAAGAATCAAAGATTTCAATCTTGTCTTGTTATGAATTTGGTAAAACATAATGAGGGCAAATGCATACTTTTTAGACCAAAAATCCATTCAGGACCATTATAGAGATGGTTCCATTCACCCATGCTCTTACAAGTCTTTCATTGTTTACAGGTATGAATGAATCTACTTGTTACGAATTATCCCAGACTTTCCCAATTTCAAATATTTTGACCCCTTTTTTGAGCACAGATAAAACACTCATTTGGTCCTTCTCTCAAATGTTAGCTGAGGGCCCTCTACAGGTTGTGGCAGGAACCAGAGATACAAAGTTCAGTGATATGACACAGCTTTTGGGAAGGCTCAGTCTGGTGGAGAAATGGCCACATCAATAAATAATTGTACCCCGCTGAGATGAGTGCTAATAAAGGTACACCAAAGAACTATGGGGGGTTTGGAGGATGGAACAAGTTGGGTTTTGAAAACATGGCCCCTTTACCACTAGCCCAACTTATTTAGCAATGATCTTATTAGACCTTAGTAAAATATGATATACCAGTCATATAGAAGATCTAGTGATGCTGCAGATTACTAAGCTTTTTGGTTTCTTTACCTGCAACAACGGTAATTTTAACACCAGGTTCAATACAGTGGGCTGCAGTTACGACCCATTTTTCATTAATGATGGAACCTCCACAGAATGCATCAATTTTACCATTCAAAAGGACCTGTGGAAACAAAATTATGAATCTTATGACATAACATTTGATCCGAAACAAAATAAATACATGTGCTGCTTATACGTGTGGGCAAAAAGTTGGCTTCTAGGTGCTGGCAGAACCGGAGTGTTTCTGGAAAGTGTCGGCTTTGAAGATAAATTAGTGTTTCTGGAGCACAATCAACAAAGCCATTTCTGTAACTATCTTGAAGACATGTGCAATGAGAGCCAGAGGGAGCTCTAGGGGAGGTGACTATGAGGGAATGGCTTCTTTTGGTGATTTGGGGCCCTTGGATTCCTTTTCCAGGTGAGTCAGATTCTCTGATAGCACAAATTGCTTCATGGGGATACAGCAGGTACATTCAGAAATGCACTGACAACTCCTCGAGATCAATACTGATTGCGTCTCCTGTCTCTGCATGAGGAAACCTTGCTATAGGTCATTTGAAAAAGAAAACACTGGTTTTTCCAAGAGGCCTTTTCAAGCCTTTTCCAAACTGGAATAATATGAAATGAGACCTATGGCCTCCATAAGGGCTGTGCTTATGGCCATCCAGGCAGCGAGGAACAGCAGGACTCATGCACTCCTTCCATTCGCCCCTAACCATATTTGACTTCCCCTGGCTGGATATGTAAGCTGCCTTTATCATAAAAGGTCTACTTAGATGTGCTTGATTTTTGGGCAAAGTGGACAAAGATGTTTGGGCACTGCTTTGAGCCTGGGCATTATTACATAAGAGGCCAATCCATTCTTTCATCTGTACATACCAGAGTGGACAATGAATACTTTTACCACCTCAATGTCTAGATCAACTTGGAGAGTTTCACATCCAATGTATGCAAGGGCCTTGATCCACCTCCTCAGGAAGAAAGCTGAGAAGTATTAACACTAGAGGGCACACTCAACATTTGGTAAACCCTTTGTGGGTGCTTAATAGCTGTTGTGAGCTGATGCACTTTTACTAAAGCACACATAGCCCCAGGCATAAACCCCTTCATAACCTAGGGAAAAGGAGTAGTCAATCCCTTTAAGTGTGAATCAGAAGGTCCTTGGGGCATGTTCTAGTGAAGATTCCTTTTGTCCTGAGTTCAATTTACTGAACACCTACTAAGTCCTAGACACTGAAGCACTAGCCTCCTACCTGGAGCCTATGGGGCTGACTCATCGCAAGCCTCTGACCCCCTTTTCCATACTCTAGCTTTCCCTCTCATTCTAACTGTTGCTTTTTATTTTGAAAAGTTGTAAAAATATAGGAAAACTCACGTAATAATATAATAAACACCAGTGTACCCACCACCCAGACTTAATAATCTCATTATTTTCAACATTTATTGATCGCTTACTATGGATAATCATTGTGCTAAGTGTGTTGTGTACATTTAATACAACACTTTGTGGAGTGATGTTACTATATCCATTTATAGGTGAGCAAACTGAGGTTTATATATGCACATTAACCCCCCTAAGGAGAGTTAGTGGTGAAGGTAGGACGCAAACCCTAGTCTGCCTAGCTTCAGAATCTACGCTCCTAAGCACCCAGTATTTCTCCAAGTGTGGTGAGTGGGCCAACTATGGTAGAATCATCTGAGATGCTTGTAAAATGCAGATTGCGGGGCCCACCCAGACTTAGGATATTTTGTGGGTGAGAATGGAGAAAATGAAGATCTCCGGAATATCGTTATGCATAATTAAGTTTGAGAAATTCTGTTTCAGAATTTCCAAGGCCTGGTGACCTTTATGTTTTAAAAGTGCTCACTCCAGGCAGAGCTGGCTACATAATTTGTGGGGCTCAGTGCAAAATGAAAATGCGGGACCCCTTTTTCAAAAGCCAGGAAAAAAAATAAAAACATCGAAGATACTAAAATACAAAACTTTTTCCTTTCCTCTGTAGTCTCGCTCGCAACCTATCACGGTGTATTTAATTTACTATTTAACATTGTGCTCCCTCAGGCATGGGGGACATTTGCTGGGAGAGCACAGATACTCACAGGTGCCCAAGGGCTGCACTCTGCAATTTAACATGCAAGCACGAATGCGCCCTCCAGCTGCCAGGTCCCCTCTCCCACCAGGCACCAAACTGAAGCCCTGTGCCCCAGCAGGGGGAAGGGTAAGTCAATCTTCCCTTCCCACTGGCCTACTGCAGCAATCCACGGTGGAGGGTTGCTTCCCAAGGGATTGCAACTTTCAAGCCAGGATGTGCTCAGTGCCTGGAATGGAGGTGGGCAAGAAGCTCGCCCCCACAATTCACCCTCCAAATGTGCTGTGACACATTTCTGGTCCCGAGATGCTGTATACCCTCCCAAAATGGCACAGAGTGTGGGCACCCAACCTCAACCCTCCCTGCACCTTTGCAGGAGGAGGTTGACAACAGTAGCTGCTGGGGATGAGGAGGGAGAGTATGTCTGTGTGACATGGGTTGGGGGCTGGCAGTGGTCATCAGGCAGGTGTGGGGAGGAGGAGGCACCAGGGGACAGGGAAGTGGGAGGTCAAGAATTCACCCCTGGGAGGTGGCGAGAGATGAGGCTGCAGTGATTCAATGTTCCAAGTCCCCAGTCCGTGCATGCTCCGTTGTCTCATCAAACTTGAGTTACAAAACACAATGCAAAGCATTGAAGTCCAAATGTGGGACCCTTCTGAATGCAGGGTCCTGTGCAAGTGCACTGGTCACAAGCTCATAAAGCTGGCTCTGACTCCAAGTGATTTTCATCACCAAGCAGATTTGGGTAACACTGTTCTATACTGGTCCTAATGGTTACAACCAAATACATCTGTTCCAGTAACTGGAGTTAAGAATTCACATGCAATGATATAATAGTGCTTCTCCTTTGTATTAGAGGTGAATTGGACATCTCTCAGCTTAATGGGCTAGTTAGGCAAGACTGAATGATATCCACAGCCCTTGGGCACAGAGACTATGATGTAGCTTGTCTGACTCCTGCCAAAGACTTGCTGCCTGGAGCTTCTACTCCTTTCTGGTGGACAGCTGAGAAATACGGTTGTGTTAAGACTGAAGAGCATTTTCTGCCAATCCCTGATTGGTATTAGAAATTTTAGCAAACTTCTTTGCCAAGAAAAAGCCCTAAAATATTTTTTTTATTTAAAGATATTACAAACGACTTGGTTTTAGAATGTTTGCTAGACTACCTCAGGATCACAGCTATCTAAATATTGGCTATTTGGGGATGAGCTGTCTGCTTGGCCAAGGACAAGTTCTTATAAGACATCATTTTGGAGAATGATGGGAAAACATATGCTCTGAGCAAGGCATTCAAGTTCGGATCTGTCAAACGTTTTCATGTTTGTCATATCGTAACAGAAGCCTGTTTTCTCTCTTTCAGACATACACACAGATATACACCAAACACACCCATGTGCATCTACAAAATACACATTCACATATCTCTTCTGATGCTCTTCATTGACAATGACAATCCAGAGTAATAGCTGTTACCCTGTTCTCTTCCTAACCTTTTAACTCCAACCTGGCCTTTCCCTGTGATTTCAGTAAACCCTTATTCTCCCTACCTAGCCACCTCCAGCTTTACAATAACATTTTTTCTATGTTTGCATACTTGTTGTCTCTCATGTAAAAAGAAAAACCATGTAAAAAGCATGATGCACAGCTTGTTATGCCCACAGGTGTGATTTGCTCAGCCTTTGGCCCTTCTTCATTTTTTTGGGCACAGAAGGGATGTTCACTTTTGGTTTTTCTTTTTCTTTTGGGGGGGCGGGGATTGGCTCTGAGCAAACATCTGTATCCATCTTCCTCTATTTTATATGTGGGATGCTGCCACACATGGCTTGATGAGCGGTGCGTATGTCTGCACCGGGGACTCAAACCTGCAAACCCTGGCCGCTCAAGTGGAGCATGCAAACTTAAACACTACACCACTGAGCCAGCCCCCACTTTTGGTTTCTAATGGTTAACTAGACTAATCATTGAAGTAGATTTCATCAAACCATCCTAGAGAATAATAGTCTAAGTGTTTTTTCCAAAATAGTTTTGTGGGGCCAGGTGGGATTACATATGTCATGTTTTTATTTCTCCTAATTGGAACTTTATCATTTGAGCTAGGAAAAGTAGAGGGTTCCCTTTTGCAGGGGGAGATATTTCTATAGTCTTAGGACCTTCATATAACATCTTCCTCCCAATGCCCCCCCACCCCCCAGAAAAAGAAAGAGAAAGTTCTGGTTCATACATATGGTAACTGCATGCTGTCTGCCATGGGAGTGTGTCCTAATCGAATGGAAAGGATTGGGTGTGTGTAAGTAGCTATGTAGGTCAAGAGCTCAGGTACCTTTAAGGATAGCTTCACGCCAAAGCTGAGGAAAGCCAAGCCTGGGGAAAATGCTAAGACATTTTAAAGATCGTTTAGGCCAAGGATAGAATAAGAATAGACAGACTGCTTCTCAAGATATATTTTGCCCATTAAATGGTTAAATATTGGCAATTGAGAACTGAGGCCCATGATAAAAGGGAAAATAGAAAGACACGGTACTTCATATACAGGGCAGGACAGACGCTAACCCAAAGCAGAAGAGGTGGGAGGAGCTCTTGGGGTAAGTTTGCGCATGCTCAGCATTGTTGACTGGCAGGGTCAAGGACATGGGACAAAACCAAATTAAATAAAGCTGCAATGAACAGAGGGGTGCATGTATCTTTACGCATTGGTGTTTTCACGTTCTTTGGATAAATACCCAGCAGTGGAATAGCTGGATTGTATGGTAGTTCTGTCCTTAATTTTTTGAGGAATCTCCATACTGTTTTCCATAGTGGCTGCACCAGTTTGCACTCCCACAGTCAAGGGACGAATGGATGAAGAAGATGTGGTATGTACACAATGGAATACTATTCAGCCATAAAAAAACAATGAAATCCAGCCATTTGTGACAACATGGATGGACATTGAGGGTATTATGCTAAGTGAAATAAGTCAGAGGGAGGTCAAATACCGTATGATCTCACTCATAAGCAGAAGATAAAAACAACAACAAACAAATACATAGAGACAGAGATTGGATTGGGGGTTACCAGAGGGGAAGTGGGGAGGGAGGAGGGTGAAAGGGATAATTCAGCACATGTGTGTGGTGATGGATTGTAATTAGTATTTGGGTGGTGAACATGACGTAATCTATGCAGAAATAAAAGTATATAATGATGTACACCTGAAATTTATACAATGCTATAAACCAACGTTACTGCAATAAAATAAATGAAACAAAACAAAAAAACAAATTAAAGCCTTAGAAAGCTGAAACACGGTGTCGCTTCCTCAAATTTCTCACTTTTATGCTGTTGATGAAGGTGGTCTGGTAGCACAGGCATTGCAATTTCCCTTTTTTCTCTAATGTTCAAAGTTTTCATTTCTTCCCTATCTAGCTGTATGAAATTCGAGTCTTGTTTTAGTTTCCCACTCCGCTAAGGATATACTGACTCTAAGAAATTTCCTTTCTGGTCCTATATAGCGCACTTGACCCTCTAGTTTCCTCTCTCCCCTCCTGCAGTGTCCCTGCTTCCTTTTCCCGAGTTCTCAAGGGGCTCCGAGCGCACCGCTGGGCATCTGGAGGGAAAATAAAGGAAACCGGCGTCACGCCCCGCTCCGCTCCTCTCTCAGGCCTTCTGTCACCGTAACGCGGGCTTAGACGTCGGGCAAGCCCGCCTGCGCCTTTGGCCTTAGCGGTCGGGGCGGGGATGCGGCGGGCCGCGCTGGCCTGGTGGAAGCAGGGGCTTCTGGGAGGCGCCTGTGGCGGGCTCAGCGCGGCTCCGGCGCCCTTCCCTGCAGCCCGGAAGCTGAGGTGAAAGCCCTAGAATAGGGTAAGAAATAAACGCGGCTGTGGACGAGCTATGTGGAAGGTGAACCTCTCGCCTTAGAGTCTCAAAGCTGGACCGGCTCGCAGCGGTCCCCTAGCCTGCTCTAATCTCTCACCAGGTGAACCAGTGCCCTCGACACTCTCCCCGGATGGGGTTACCAGGCCGGTGCTGTCCTTAGTGACAGAACAGCTTCTCAAGTCAACAATTCGACAAACATTTGTTCAACCATTTCCCCCCAAGCTGCCCAGCCCACGTAACCGGCCCTGTGGTTGGAAAGAGCTTTCTTAGCAGGGGCCAGAATCTGCCTGCCTGCCTGTAACTTGCACCCGTAAGTCCACAAAGACAAAGTTGTCGGCCCCTTTCCCCTGTGGCCCGTTAGCTCTTGCAAACAGCTCACCTGAACCTTTTCTTTAACAGACTATTAAACATGTCTAATTTGATCAAACTGTTCCTTACTCCAGATGAAAGTGAACTCCCTATGTTCTTCTTTGTGGGATTTCTTCACCCAACTGGTCGCTTTATCCCCCTATCCTCTTTTATGAAGCATCAGCATTTTGAATCACTCTCTTCTAGGTGGCATTGCTAAGCAGTATTTCATATTTCAGAGCCACAGATACGCTATTTTGGCCATTGAAACCCCAGCCGTTGCTTGCTTTCTCTTGATGCCTTGGCTACAGGAGGTAGCAGGCTTGTCTGCAATCAAATCAAGTATTTCCACCCTGCAGATTAACTGTGATGCGTGGAGCTGGCTCATCCACAAACGAGGAGACATTCTGGTTTGTTTCATTTCCGGTTTCATCTTTGTTTAAAAGTGACTTCTGTGCACTCAGTTTATCTCATAGTTTTGAAAACCAGTAACCTTTCGTGAGAAACTGGATGGAGGTGGGTGTGGAGAGACAGTTCTCTGGTGAGGAAAGAAACAGTGCAGAAGTATGACAGGATCTTTATCAAGTCTCCTAGAAAGTAGCTTAGCTCTTCACCTCTGCGAAAGACTAAAACCTTTGTACCTCTACAGTCAGTAATCTTACTTCATATGGGTGAAATAGGGATTGAAGGTGCGCGTGTGCATCTGTGCACATATGTGGGTGAGTGATCTTGAACATTCCAAATGATCTTAGCTAGGCTTGATAGGAAAGAGACAACATGTACACTAACTATACCTGTGCAGTGAGGAGGACATGAAAAGATTTGAAATGATGTGTGTCATTTATATCTCCTCCCTCACAGTACAACTACAACCATCATCTAATAGTTTCTTCCGCTTAAAATAAAAAATAGCTTGCTAGAGTTACTATACTAAAATTTCTATTGGGAAAAACTTGGATTGTTAAAACATTGGCAAGCATCTGGCTTAAAGGGGTGGGTCGGGAACAGAGATTATGCAACTAAATTGAGACTTTATAACCCCCCCTTTTGTTTTTGTTTTTGTTTTCTTTTTTAGCTCTCATTGAAGTCTATTTGCCATTTCATTGCTAGGATGACAAGGGGACAATGCTAAGCCCACAAGGGGACAATGCTAAGCCCATAATGGATGCATCCTGGGGTTTTGTTTTAATCCTGGGGTTTTTTTTTAAAGGGAAGTCATCTTCTTAGCTAATAAAACACCCCTAGGTTCCTGGATCCTCCACTCTAGGCACTGCTTTATCTCCCACAAGCCCAAGGAAGATAATAATTATGAAGTAGGATCTTTTGTTCTAACCACCTTATTCAAGTTGGATACATGATGAATGAAAATGCACCAAGAACACAGATAGTAAAATTAGATAGAATTATATACATGAATGTTAAATAGAATGAAAGCATAATTAGAGTGGCTGGACCCAAGAGGGATGGTTCAAGGAAAGGTCGATGGAGAAGGTCAATGTTATGAAGAGTCGTGAAGGAAAGTCAAGATGTGGATGAGTGAAGGAAGGGGTCTGGTGGGTGAGGGAAGCAGCATGGTAGGATGCTTAAGTAGGAGACAGAGGGGGTGTAAAGGAACATACAGTGTATTTTGTTGGCTATAAGATCAAGTCCAACAAATATTGTTAAAAGCAAAGGAAAATATAAAGTCTTGGTTATCATGGTCTGCCACCCTTCAGTACCATCCCTACCTCCCAGGTATATGTTCAGTATCCTACACCTACTATATTGGAAAATGGCAGGCAATCTGAAGAATTTTGAATAGATACATAGCTAGCAGCAGAAAATTCCAGTGGTGTTAAACCTGGGGACATTTACCTGATCCTAGTTTAAATTGTTACCTGTTTGATGATTAAAAAGTCTTTAAGGCTATTGATCTCTGATGGCAAAAATTTAAATCTCAGTAGAGAAAATATTTTGAAGTGAACCATCCTTGAAATTACTACGAAGTCATATGATTGTAGCCACTAGGGAGTTTTATGTTAGACTAAACTACTATAAGTGCTCACCAATAGAACTTTCTGCAGTGATGGAAATGTTCTGTATCTGCGCTGTCCAATACAGTAGCCACTAGCCATATGTGGCAGGTATGACTGAGGAAATGAATTTTTAATTTTATTTAATGGTACTTAATTTAAATTTAGTGGCTAGTAGTTACCTTATTAGACAGCCTAGCTTTATATAAGAACCAGCCTGGCTCCTTGCCTCTGGGGCCTACTCCTCCTCTCAGATGGAATAATTGAGGCTTTAGCTGTAGGCTCAGTTACAACCCAGGTTTTGCTACAAATCTAGCTCTTGGTTGTTACCTCAAAAATGTACACAGGTGATTCTCATGTGGGTTGTCTGCAGATCACACCTGGAGAAATGTGGGACTAAGTACCATGAGTCCACTCTTAGGTGTTTTTGACCCTAGCTTCTATAACAAGTTTGGTTACTTTGGAAAAAAATTGTGGGTTTCAAATTGTACTGTGCATCAGAATCACCTGAAGGGCTTGTTAGCATTCAGATTGCAGGGCCCCACCCGCAGAGATTGTGATTCAGTAGGTCTGGGGTGTAGCATGAAAATTTGCATTCTTAACAAGTTCCCAGGTGATTCTGATGCTGCCACACTTGGAGAACCACAGCCTTGGACCAAGCCCTATCTCATACCCTGGTTCCAGTAACCCAGTTCTTACCTTCATCCTTCCTATGTGAGTCCTTTTTTAAATCCCTTTGAAATAACCCAGTTTCTCTGGACCTGGAGACTCTCTCACCAGTTCTCCCAGGGGCTGAAGCTGAAGTAGTACCCTGCATCCAGTACCTGTGACCTCACTTCCAGACCTCCCTACTGCTTGTCTGGATTCCTGCTATTCTATTTCCTTGATGCCAAACTCTCCTTGACCTTGTATGGTAGCTGTCCCTGGACTTCTCTTTCCCCAGCTCCCCAGCTATGGGGGCTTCCTCATATTACTTAGTGCTGAAACTTGCCTACACACTTCCCTTACTCTGATAGGTCTGTCTGTTGTCCTAGCCTCAGCCTCCCCCCTGGCCCGTCCCTTGCCCACTGAGCTCCAGTTTTGACACACCATCAGTGGAGAGTACCTGCCAAGGGAATTGACCTGGTTTGGCGTTTTCTCCACCAACAACTCGAGTGATGTTATCCCAAATTGTTCCAACTTCAGTAGAATTTTCAGAATCCATATTGGAAAAAATAGTCTCAGCACGGGTGGGCTTCAGAGATGCATGTGAGACAGAAACTCTTCCACATGGAAATGGCACTATAAAAATGGAAAAAATATTTAGTATTCTGATATTTCTCATTGGCAAGCAGAACATGTATTACAAAAATCAAGAATGAGGCCCATCCTTGTCACTTCTGAGAAGCAGGCCTATCAATATTTTAAAACATGTAATCAATGAATATAGTCTCAAACTAAAAGGTTAATTGCGTTATTTTCATGGAACGTTTTCAAACCCTTCATGAAAAGAACATTTGGCTCAGGAATCCATCATCTTTACGGAAACAGGTATTCCAGAATCAAATTTTATAAGACTTTTATAAAGTCTAATGGCTTTCTGTTTAGGTTCTCTACTAAAAAGCCTTACTCCCAAGTACTGTCCCTGGATGGAAGGTTGATGACTGATCCATGTAAATTTAACTTTAGAATTAGGTAAATGGGACTTCTGCTGCTTACTGTGAACAGGATTTCTTTTGTAGCCTAGAATGCCTTCTAGATTCCAAGGTAGATTTTAGGTATCTGTTTGGGAGAGATCGTTGTGATTTAATTACCTGGCTGTCAGGTATTAGCCGAATAAATTACTAATATGATTATCACAGCCACATCCACCTGGGAACTAGCCACCTTTTTACCTTGGGTTGGTTTATTTCCTAAAGAAAAGAAATTATCTACTGATACACTGGGGACAACCAGAATGGAAATTTGTAGTCAAGCAAAGTCACCCCACATTTCATTTTCAGTTTTCACTTTCCTTCTAGCCACGTTCCTTATAACAGACATTTCTATAGCAACCAGCTGCGGCAAAGTGTCATGAAGACAGCATGTGGTTGGGAAAACAGGAAATTAGCTCAAAATACTTATGTATAAATATAAATCATCAACAATGGCTAGAGAAAAGGGACCATTACTATTGAAAGGCAGAAAAGCTTATTTTAGGTTTGGCCTACTTATTCTGCTAAAGCTGAGGCTATATTCAAATATAACACTTAATAGTTGGAGGTGGTTCTCAATTCTTTTTTTTTCTCCCATAACATAGAAGGACTTATAAGAGTTTAGCTACTATGCCATCTGTCTACACTGGAAGTTAGGTTTTGAAGGTTAAAACAGGGATATATTCTCCCCCCAAGGTAGGCTAGCTTTGAAGCAGTGTATATGAAGAACCAGGTAGAAGGACAGGCAGGCAGGCCCTTCAAGCATTAGAGACTCTTCATTTTAGTTGCAGCATGTATGCTCTTGGCTTCTGGTCCTTTCTTTAATTTCCTTTGCTGGGTGCATTGCTGAGATAGGTATCGAACCCAGTTACAGAGGAATAGTGCATGACTTAATGTACCAATTTAATAAGATACCAGGCTTTGGAAATACAAAAGAAATTATATCTAGTTTGCTTCCAAAAGGCCCTTCTTTATCAAATATAATTGATCCTGAGGAGCCTACTTATTTTTTTAATCAAAGTTTCTACTGCTTTCATTTTCAGAGAAGAGCAAAGTGAGTGTGGAGTTGAGATGTTCTGAATATAACAGTTAGCTGTCAACATGGTTCCCAGCCATGGTTGACATGACTGGGAAACGTTGCTTTGTCCACTGCTGTATAGATTTACTGTGCTGATCAGCCTGGCACGACTTAAAACAGATGGTTGTCGGAACTATTCTGATGCCAAGTGTGTAAAAGCCTGAGACTCAGGATAGGAAATAACTTTCTCAGAGTAAACCAGCCACACTCTGACAAAATCATGCTAAAAATTCACAGTCCTTGTACTAGAAGCCTATCAGGCAATCATTTATGTATCTTTTATGGTATAGGATTACTATGTTAATTTGACTTGATGACTTACAGATATGTATACAGAAATCATACAAATCAATTGCTTCATGCTATAAAACAGAAAAAAATCAGAGACCAAAAAGAATTCAGAATGAAGACAATTACAGAATTTCTATTTAAAATGATGATGCAATTTGGAAAATTAATTTGTCCAATTCAAGCTACTAATCCTTTCTATGATTTCAAAAGGAAGTACAAAAACGTAGGGATTAAAGTTGTGTAGACTAGTTAATATGCTGAAAGTTCAAATATAGATTTGCAGAATGTATCTACCGAGCTTTAAAAATAACTTATTTAGATTTTGACCTGCTGGTTCACAGGACTTTTGGTCTTCTGCAAGCCGGTATCCTGCAGTACAGGAACAAATCACCTTGTTATCAGCGCTGTTTTTACAAAACTGCTTGCATCTGCCATTCTTAATGCTGCATGTTGCGTCTGAAAGAAAGCAAAATCAACAGTAGTAATAGCATCATTTGGCATCCATTTCTAAAACATACATGAAGCTACTGACTCATGTCTAGGGCAGATATAAGCTGGGGGCATTCATGGAGAGAAGCTTGGGAGCCTTGAGCTAAAAGTAGAAAGAAAGATAAAATAAAATTCTTAATAAGGCATAAAAATGGTGGCAGTAATATATTTGATTTGGCATAAAACTGAAGGTTTGGATACTCTGTTTTCACTAAATCATGGACTGCAATTTAAAAAACCTGTTTATTAAAGTATAATGTATATTCAGGGAAGTACCCAAAACTTTAGTATGAATTTTCACAAAGTGAATGCGTCTGTTTAAACACTAGACAGATCAATACATAGGACATTATCAATACCCCAAAAGCTCTCCTAATGCCCCCTTGCAATCACTACACCCTTCCTCCTTTCCAAAGTTACCATTACCCCAACTTCTAATAGGGAATTAGTTTTGCCTCTTGGTGACCTTTGTATAAATAGAAGCTCACAATATCCACTCTTCTGTGTTTTGCATTTCACATTTTGTGCGGTTCATCCATGTTGTTTTGTATAGTGGTCGTTCATTTATATGCTGTGTAGTATTCCATTGTATAAATATTACTACCTTTATTCATCCATTTTACCGTTTATGAATATTTGAGTTGAGTTTCCAGTTTCTGCCTCTTGTGTAGAATGCTGTAATGAACATTCTTATACATATCTTTTGGTAACATATGCATGCATATTTACTGGATATATACTTATGAGTGCAATTATTGGATCATATGTTCAGGTATAGTAGATACTGCCAAGTTGTTTTCTACAATAATTATACAAATTTAAATTTCCACCATCAGTGTATGAGAGTTCCGGTTATTGGATATGTGTATTACAGATATCTTCTCCTGTTCTGTGATTTGCCTTTTCACCCTAAATAGTGTATTTTGCTGAATAGAAGTTCATACTTTTAATATAATCCAATTTATCAAAGCAAACTTGAAGCTGGCTGAGGTGAGTATGTATCAACACAAGAGAATGAAATAGGGTCCTTTAAGGTAGCTAAATGCCAAAGCCATTATGTGTTGACAATGATAAGCATTCTAGCAGCCCACATTTTCTTTACTCTCCTATACAATCTCCCTTATTAATATAGACTATTGTTCTTTGTCTCTTGTAATGCTTTTTGTCTTGGATTCTATTTTGTCTGATATTAAGATTGCTTTGCCAGGTTCTTTTTGTTAGCATTTACCTAACAAATCTTATTACATTCCTTTATTTTAGCCCCTCTGGTGTAATTTTATTTTACGTATCTCTTTTGTCAACAGCATACAATTAGATTTTTAACTCCAGACTGAAAATTGTCATTAACCCAATTCACATTAATTGTGATTCCTGATATATTTGGCTTATTCCTGCCATCTTATTTTGTATTTTCTAATTACTGTGATTTCCCTTTGTTTCTCCTGTGCAATCTCAATAACAAAAAGTAGCATGGTTCAGGGCTTGCTAGCTGAGACCTGCTGAGTTAAGAGAAACGGGCTTTGCTGTTGGGCCTATTTCTGTCTCGAGAGCAGCACAGGAACACAATGAATAGAAGACACCTTCCCCCTTACATACGTGCTCAACCACAGTACAACTTTCAATAGCAATGCTCACTTGTCAGTGCAGTTAGAACACGGCAAGTTTGAAAATGAGTGACTGTATTAGACACCTCCTAGGCACCACCTTAGTTCCTCTCAACCTCACTGTGTCTTTTCCCAGCACTGTGGTGATCAGCTCTGCATGAACTTCCACTGACCTCATACAGGTGCAGCCTTCAATTGCCTTGGCTCATATCTGTACTATATGCCTCTCATCTCTTACCTCATCTCATCTACTTCCCTGTTGATGCTGAGGCATGGGATGCCATATGACCTCTCTGGGTGCCCCAGCATGTACAACCTGGAGATGTGGGGGAGTAATGCCCCATAGGCTGAACTTTTGACCATAGGGAGACAGATGGTGTTGGACAAATTCTTTCACTTCTTCTCCGCTCCCAGGTGGACTATCCTGAGACCAGTTCATCTGGCTCCTTGGAAAACAGCCCCAGGAGCTCAAGCAATGAGTTGCAGATGAGGAGATATGACTCATCCTATTATTGGTTCTCCTTTCCTCATTGCCTCTCTCTGTGTCCCTTGCTCCCTAGGATTGTGCACCCTAATAAATAAGCTTGTGTCACAGACTCTTTTCTTCTGGGGGAATCCAGGCAAACAGGTGACTATATGATTTTGGAGTATATTATGGATTTTTGAAGGACAGGTCTAAATTTTCTAATTATATTTTACATAGACTAACATAAGCTAATGTAATAATTAGCTCATGTTCCTCACTGACACTTTAGGAAATAAGGGAAGGCAAATCAGCTGTTGCCAGGTAGACAAAGGAACCAGCCTGAGCTTTAACCTTTGCTACCAAATAATCCACTAAGTGCATGATCCAAAAAGATGGCACTTGGTCCTTTTTATTTATTTATTTTTTAAAGACCTTTCTCCTCACTCATGGTGATTACATCCCTGGCTCTTTTCATGTTACCAGCTATCATTTTGTTGCTACAAAGCAATACTAAAGTGTTCAGCCAAATCAAATACCACCTGTAGAAAGTGTTCAGTCAATATGAGATTGGGATAAGTTAACAGAGGTAGGCGGAAGGTGAAGCCTGGTTGGGTCCAGGACATGCGCAACGGGAATGAATAAACTCAGTGTGCTTTTCCCAATTCTGATTCTGTGTCCTTGGCCAAGTAACTAGACCTCCCCATTATTTTCCTCATCTGTCATTTTTCTTTATGGCTCAGTATGTTGTTGCTGCTGTGGATCTCCGGCTTGGTTTGTGCACACAGTGGGACATATTGCTGTCTAATCAGCAGTCTTTTGCGCTCAGATAAAGGACTCAAGGTTCTGGAAATAGAATAATAGCACAAGGAATTCTAGTGGAGAGGTCTATAGTCCAGGATCTAAGGAACAGTCACTATGGGACTCATTCTTCAATCATTTATTGAGCACTGGGATGTCAGGCACTGTGTTGGGTATGGGTTCTCCCTGGTCCTGAGGCTGGTCTCAGTGCCTAGAATATCTGTTGAAGAACATCTCAAAGCATCTGTTCTTCTCCCTGCATGATAGCACCTCTTTCTAATTCCCCTCATACCTACTACAAAAGTTACCATGTTCTGCTTTATTTTATTCTGCCTTCATCTTCCCTCATATATTCACTGATGTGAAAACCAAAGCTCAGACAAAATATGTTCTATTTAACAAGTTTACCACAGAATATGATGTTATTCAGCTAAACTCAAGATCTTTTCTTTTCTCCACTCCACAGAAATACACAGTAAATAAGACAGTAGTGTCTGTGACGTGTTAGCAAAATGAAGAAACAAGTGTTTATGTGCTTGTGATTTTCTTTCTTGCTATCCTATCTTACTGTGGGGAAATGCCTCTTGTACTCCTTAGAAGGGACAGTAATGACCACATTCTTACAGACCTTGATCTATCTGAAAAGGACTCAGATGTGATGTGTAGCTGGCGACATACAGTGGTCTTTATTCTAGCCAAAGGGACGCAATAGCCAATGAATTGTTATTCCTCTAACTAGAAAGTGTGCCCTGAATGTTTGCACCTTTCTCTCCTGGAGAAGAGCTTGCTGAACGAGGGAAAAGGGAAACAACAAGATCTTGACAATGGAAATCTCCCTTCCCTTTCCAAGACAGGGTGAGGCAGGAGACTGGGGGCCCACATACTCCATAAACTGTGCTTGCTACCTGGCAGCTTTTGAGATTAGTCTCTAGTTCAGTTTGAAGCAGCAGCTTAAATGGGAGTTTGTATATGCTTTTGCTGTTGCTTTCCTCTAGCGTCTGAGATAAAGAGCTTTTTGAGAGAATTCCCACTTGGTTTCTGAACTAACTGGGCTGAAAGGATTTTTCTAAACCTCGATCAGATGGGCTGGGGGAGATCAATACACCCTAGAGGCCAGGTGTGTTGGTGGATGCAGTGCATCTGCAGAGCCCTGACCAAACCGAAGTGTGGGGAACCCGAGAGGACTGAGATGGTGCCAGTTGTAGACTTAGCACTTTTGCTCTGTGGACCGTAGCCTCACACATGTAGCAAAACCTGTTAGAGAAGTTTTGTGCTTATATTTACATTCCTCAGGGCTATTCTCCTCCTTTAAAGTGTCTTTATTTGTAAACTAAAGACATTTAGGAACATTTAATGTTAAACACTATTTTCAGTTATACTTGACTGCAATGTGTCCTTCATTCTTAACTGAGACTAATTGAGTTATTCATTCCCTCAGCTCCAATAGTTATATTATTTAAGCTGATAATGAGTAACTACTCCAAAGATTTCTGTAGGTTTCCATAATAGCAGGATCAAATTTATCCAGGTAAATCTGAATTTGAAATTATAACCTTTCAGATGGAAGTAGCACTTCAGAGATATTGAAGCAATTAACACACCCACAGGAGAGGGAACCCAGGCATTGGTTTGTCCCCACACTGAGAAATCTGAGGGAATGGGAGTCCAAGCCAGGTGTACCAGTTCATCTACCTTCATTCACTCTTTTCTTTCTTTTTAAATGTTTTTGCCCTACCGCCTTTTCCTTTTCTTCTATTCTATTGTTTTTTATCTTTTAGATCTCAAAGGAAGATGATCAATGGATTTCTCTTTGGTACTGAAAGGATTTCTGAACAACGTTACAGGTGACTCGTTTTCCTTTCTCAACAGAACAAGAGCAGCCGCTGCATTTCATTTTGTTTTATGCTTTTTTCATCTGTGTGTCAGGTGGATTGCTATAACGCCTTAATAGAGTCCTGCAATTTTCTACTCTTGGCCCTTAGTCATGTAGCCTGTGGTGTTAAATTCTTTCCCTGGGATTGCATCTCTATTCTTTGGGAATTTCAGAGTAGAAAGAGAATCGTTATTAGCACTGTGTGCTTTTTGCAATCACAATGCAAGTAATGTTGCTTCCAGAGGTGATGAACAAGTAGGTAAAGCACTTTGGGGTTTACTACTTACTCCATTGCCAAAATCTCAGGAAAAAACATATTCTAGGCTATGAGAAGAAAAAATGCACAATGATCCTAGATCTGCTGTGTAACTCTTTCAATGTAATCAGTATAGTCAAATTCAGGAATGAGCTGATTTTTGTCAACAAATTTAACGTTAAGTGTGTGTGGAGAAGTGCTTGTTATATGGGAGAATTGGCCTTTCCATACCCCAATTCTAGGCTTAATTGACTTCTACTGCTTATATTAATAGTAATTTAGTCATGAGTTCAATTTTATGGGTTCAGTTTTCCTTACCTCTTGTGGATAGTAATTAGAAGCATGGGTTTTGGTCAAAACTGAAATTCAAGTCCTGGCTTAATCATTTACTACCTCTGTGATTTTGAGCTGTTTGAGCTGCAGTTTCCTCATCTGCATAGAATGGGGTTAATAATGGTACTGACCACATATGGTTGTATTGAGGATTAATAAGTAAGTGGAACATCGTTACTACTTAATATAGGCTACCAAATATTGCTCTTAATCTAATTTCTTGAACTCATCCTGGAAACTATGACTCTAGATAAAATGAATATTTATAAGCTTTGAAAGTATATGTTTTATACAATGGAATATTTTTCAGCCTTGAAAAAGAGGGAAATCTTGTCATATGCAACAACATGGATGAACCTGGAGTACATTATGCTAAATGAAATCAGCCAGTCACAGAAGAAAAATACTGCATGATTCTACTTACATGAGGTGTCTAAAATAGTCAAACACATAGAAGCAGAGAATACAATTGTGCTTGCTGGGGGCTGGGAGGAGGGGAAAATGGGGAGTTGCTGTTCAACGGGTATAAAGTTTCAGCTATACAAGATGAATAAGTTCTAGACGTATGCTGTACAACATAGTGCCTAGAGTTAACAATACTGTATTATACACTTCAAACTTTCTGAGTGTAGATCTCATGTTAAGCATTCTTTACCACAATAAAACTGTATATGTTTTTAAGAGAAAATTATGATACATAAATACTGCATTTTCCAGTTTCATCTGGTTTCAAAGGGAAACTCTGAACCATGAGTAATCCAAAAATAGTTACTTACATAATTCACAGTTCTTTCCTTCAAATCCAGGTTGACACCAACATTCATAGGAATTAATGTCATCCTTGCACATACCGCCATTTAAACATGGATTGGACTCACACTGATCTCCATCTTTGAGACAGGTTAAGAAGTTGAGTTAGTAGATAAACTGCTTAGAATTCCTAGTCTTCCCTGCAGAGACTCATGGGGAGGGGAGCCTGATTTTAGGGTCACAACAGAACTGCTGACCTGGAAACTAGCTGCTTATGGCATGCCCCCGTCTCCCTGAGTTTCTAAAAGCAACCCAAACGAATGTTCTTAGGGTAACACTGCCCTCAGAAATTTCCCTGAGGAAGGCATGCACATAGTTTAACACAAGGGAAGAGGAAGAGGGAGAAGCACATCTGAGTATAGAAGTTACTATATCAGCATAGGGTGAGAAGAATCTTCAATCCTTCCTTACAGGATGATGGCAGAGTTAATTCTAAATCGAATCACATCACTTCAACAATTATTATCTATATGTCATACAAGGCCCGCTCTATTACAGGTCTTGCAGAGCAAGCTGAGCTAGATAACATGATACTTCCACTCAAGGAACTGGCAGCCTAGGCATGGAGCAAATGTATCTACTTCCCTGTATTATCATTTAACTTTTAAGTATAGTATGCAGTAATGGTTCAAAACAACAGAAAAGATGCCCAAAGCATCTGTTTCTGCTTAAAGATATTCTGCTGTCTATGAGTTAGGTCTCAAATGGTCTAGGTAGAGTGAGAAACAACTTTCTATACAAAGAACTAAAAAAGAAAAGGTTCTGAAAATGTGCTTTATTTCTGTATAGATTGGCTGCGTTTCCTTTCTGCCTTTCCTGAAGTTTCTACATTTATAGAGTTCTTGACAGCCTTTGAAGTCACCGGTGGTAAAAAAACAGGAGGAAGGAATAGGCAAGAGCGGCCGGGTTAGGATGAGAAGGAACCTTTAAGTCTGGTTTCTTAGAGCTCTGCTTCCATCCATGCTTCTAAGGAAGCTTCAGGAGAAAGGGACGAATAGAACCAGAAAGGAGACCAATACGTACTTTGAGCCAAGAGAAATAGCCCTGAAGAAAAAATGGGAGCTAGATCAGCAAGACTTGATATATGAGAAACAAAACAGTAAGAGATAAAGATGACATAAAAATAAAAGAATGAGGGAAAGGGGGCTATTAAAGAGAAATTTCTAATTATCAGTTATACTTTAGACAAAACTCCCTGACATCTAGTGTGTAGATCCCTGCCTGCTCTAGGGAGAACAATAGGAGCTCTGTCATGCTCTCGTCAGTAGCATGTATCCAGGTCCCATTGACAAAGGGCTAATATGCCTTTCTCAGAAACAGTCCCTCTCTGGAAAATCTGCTTGCTGTAAAAATTAGACCTTGTCCCCTCTGCCCCTTGATCCGATGTGCTTTTGCACAGATACTTCAATTTGTTCCAATTCTATGAAAACAAAATGCTTTATCTCTGGTTTATTATTATTGATGTTCAGAACTGGTCAAAAAAATGAGCTACATTTGTACTTTATATTATAGACCAATGGATCTGAATTATTTAGGATGTTTCACTGAAAGGGTCTGGGCTTGCAGCCAGCTACACAGCAACTCATTTGCTGAGACATATCTTTAAAATGAGTGTCATTTTATCCTGCATTTAGTCCTCCTTTGGGTGCTTGTCGGTGTGTACTTTGGGCTGAGGCAAAGCCACAGACAGTAGGGGTCAAAGACAACAGGGACACGACCTTGCTAAGTGAGAGATTCCTCTTTGGGCTACTAGGTTGCTGTTTAATGAATAACTGCATTTAGATTTGAAAGACGGGAGGGTTAATAGTGAAAGCAAGGGGTTGGTCATTAGAGAACTTGGGTTCTCTTCTGGGCTCCGTGACTCCCCAACTGAGTGACCTTTGGCAAGTCTCATAATCTCCCTAAGTCTCAGTTTTCTCCTCTGTAAAAAGAGGTTAATAATGCTTTACTTGCAGGGTTGATGTGAGGATTAAATGTGACAGGCCCTCTGCAAACTGTAAAGTGCTTGACAGAAGCTAGTTAATGTGGTTGGACGATATTTCTTCTTTAACCAGGCTCTTTCTGTGGTGAGCTGATGGTCGAGAATAGGGCAGGAGTGAGAGGCCTGCATCCCAGCTGTGTGTGACAGCCCATACAGTGAGAAATAGCATAGGCTATTTTGGGGTGGTTAGGAATTTTGGCTGCAAGTGAAAAGAGTCATGGAGTTGTTTACTTTTTCTTTTTGTTCTTGTTTTTCTTTTATTTTTTGGTAAACAAAGCAGTAGTGACAAAACCTTGCCTTTGATGTTTCCTGGGTAGCTTTGCCCGAGATACAGTAAACAACGCAGCCTGTGACCTAGAAGACAGGGGCCCAGCTGCAAAATATGGTGCTTAAGACGTGCTGACCAACCCCTGCTAGGGGGTGGGATGTCAAGTTGGGGAGTGGGCAATGAAGGGATCATGGGAGTTTAAATATAGCCAAGAATATTTTTTGGGGAAAAGTAGAAATTGATTTGCTTTAAAAAATATGTCACAAGATTCAAAGTTGTAAATGTAGTAGAAATAGAGAATAAAAAGACTTGTTTGGACTAACTAGGGGAATATTTCAGTAAAGAATTGGCATGGCAGCATTCACGACTACGAACAAGGAAAGGCAGATAAAGCAAATGTAACAGAGCAGACCTCTTATTCCCTCATGATTTAAAAACACAAGTGGAGAAATTCTGAGTTACAAGTGTGTGAACAAGTCCAATAATATCTCCAGAATAGAAACTGTGGAAAATACAGCTGGATCTCAAATTCGTGGAACTCAGTGAACTTGGTTAATTTGTTTAACCAGGTTAATTTGTTTCTGTCCATGCAGATGGTCTTAGGTAAGTCAACCTGTGGAATTTATACTCCCTCAAAATCCTTCTGCTGGACTTTAAATTAGTTTTAAAACTTAGTTGTCATTAAAGTTTTGCCTTTTCCTCCTTTGGTCAATTCATTCAACAAATATTTACTCAGTGCTTCTGTACCAGATATTGTTTGAGGTACTAGGAATTCATCAATAAACAAAACAGTTGACTACCCCTGCCAATGTAAAGCTGGCATTCTAGCGAGGAAGGAAAAATAAATAATAAATTGTATAAGTAAGAACATTTTCAGATCGTGAAAAGTGCTATAAAATAAAAAATAGAGCAGGTGGGGGCCGGCCCGGTGGCGCAAGTGGTTAAGTGCGCGCGCTCCGCTGCGGCGGCCTGGGGTTCGCTGATTCGGATCCTGGGCGTGAACCGATGCACCGCTTGGCAAGCCATGCTGTGGCGGCGTCCCATATAAAGTGGAGGAAGATGAGGCACAGATGTTAGCCCAGGGCCAGTCTTCCTCAGCAAAAAAAGAGGAGGATTGGCAGATGTTAGCACAGGGCTGATCTTCCTCACACACACACAAAAAAGTGGAGCAGGATATGGTGTCTAGAGTAATGGGGTTATGGGAAGGCAGGTGGAAGTATTAATAGGTGATCGAGGTAAGCTTCATTAAGATAGTGACATTTGGGCGAAGACCTGAAGGAGGTGAGGGAGCAATCCTAGGGGAACCTGACAGAGCATTCCACATTAAAAGAACTGCCAGGGCCGGCCCTGTGGCTTGGTGGTTAAGTGTGCGCGCTGCGATGCTGGTGGCCCGGGTTCGGATCCCGGGTGCGCATCGAGGCACCACTTCTCCGTTCATCCTGAGGCCGAGTCCCGCATACAGCAACTAGAAGGATGTGCAGCTACGACATACAACTATCCACTGGGGCTTTGGGGGGAAAAATAAAATAAATAAAATCTTTAAAAAAAAAAAAAAAAGAACTGCCAGATCAAAGACTCCCAAGTGGGAACATTCCTAGAATGTGCAGGGAGCAGCAAGGAGGCCAGGATGGCCTACATGAGAAGCAGAGCGGTAGGAGGGGAGGTCGGAGGGGGAGTAGGAAGGAAGGGGGAGGGCAATCATGGAGGGCCTTGTAGGCTGTCATAAGGAGCAGGACATTTAAGAAATAAACATTTAAGTCCATTAGCACTCTCTTATTCTCTACTGGGGATTGCAAACTCGCATTCAGTCCCCAGATGCAATCATCTCAGTTTCTTTCTTCCAGCTTCCTGGGGTGGAACCATGTTCTTTTTGAAGCCCTAGGGAGGAATAAGCTTATCTGCCAGCTGGTGTCTCCCATGCTGGCATAAACCTGTAATATATCACCATTCAATCTTAGGTAAAAGAGTTGGACCTATTTTTTGGAGCCCTTTTGACAGAGTTTAATGTATTATCTATTTACATAGAGAAAAAAATACACAATTCTCAAATGTTTCATAGACCAGCCGGAGGATAAAATGAATTGCTTACCAACATATTGCTTCCAAAATTCAGTCTGTAAAGAAAAAGAGGACAAGTTAATGGTAGTATTTAAAATGCTTTGGATTTGATTCTTTCTCTTTTATAACATTTAAAACACACATATATGTATAGATATTTTAAAATTCCAAAGAGAAGTTTCCTTTTTTTTTAGGTTTTCTATTCTTTGCTCCGCATCTGAAGGATGTTATGTGGAAATACTCACAGTTTTTTCAGTGTTTTCGAAGACTTCTCGTGCTTCTTCAAAACTACACTTTTCTTCTATACATTCTCTCTCAAGGTTTCCTCGAACAAACTCTTCCAATTTACCTGAATTATACCTCTTTGGCCGAGTCAGAATTTTGGTGGCATTTTCACGATCAAGAAAAACTGAAATTTAAAAGAACTATTCTTTAGCTTTAGAAAAAAGAAAATATCATGAAAATTAAATACATCTCTTAAGAAAGGCTTTGTTTTTAATCCAAGTAATCTCAAAGCCAATTTATCTTTGGGGCATAGAGCCAAAATCTATGATGTTCTCGTGGTACTGTACACAGGTGGAGATTTAGGAATTAAAATTCAATTTTGCTTTTAGTCGAGAGAGCTCCAGTATTACAAGGTCAGATTTTCAATCGTATTTGAATTTACTTTGGATGAAAAAGAAAGTTCTCAAATAAGCAGTTAACTTCACACTTTGTCATCATTTGAAAAGAGCTAATTGCAGATCCTTGCAAGGTGATCCATCACCCTAACTGGGCTGTGTTTTCAGGATGCAGGTGCCCAAATGACTTTGCAACAAATTTCTCTGGAATAACAGAAGCCTAACTGTGGTCCAGCTGCAAATGCAACCCCAGTGTCTCTCACTAGATGTTAAAGAAGAACTACTGCATTAATTTTTTTATCTTCAGACTCACAACACCTTCAGTTAGCATGTGTTATAGGAATTTCAGTGATGTAAGTCTTTCTCTAGGATACAAGATATGGTTTATTTTAGCTATGACTGCCTAGCCTGTAGGGATACTCCTGAACTTTGGAGGATTGAGGCCTCTAACCTGATTCTCTCCCTCCCTCCCTCTCTCTCCACTTTCAAATCTCAATCTCTCTGTTTCTCTCTCATATATATAATGTATAAAACATATAATATATTAACATGTATATCTGACACTATCTCAAGAGGACCAGGTACTTATAAAATAAACTTTCCAGGGCATTTTGGGACTGTTTTCTCATTAACTCCAGAAAAAAAAAAAAGGGAAAGAAACAAACTAAACTACATTCCCTTGTTTTCGTTGCAGCTGTTCACTTTATGGAGCCTTCTAGTCCTTTGACAACCTTGCTTTTCTCTTGCTCTGCAAGTCCCTGTGGGCTTCACCTTTTTTTTTTCTGAGTTTAGCTCAGACTTTTTCTCTTCAACTCTTCACTTGCCAACTTTCTCAATTCTCTCTACCCCTTCGTCAGTGCTACAATACCCTGCAATCCCAACCACTAGATCAGTGCAGCCATCTGTGGCCTTTCCTCCTTTTCCAGGCAGCTGAGCATTGTGGGAGAAAATCACCAAGCTGTAGAGGGATGCCATTGCATATCAATGTCTCCCAGTCTCTACCAGGCCCTCCTCTCTGCTTGGCAATTCATTTGCTTGGCCCTGGACACTCCTACAATAGCATCTGTGTCTGCCTCCATTTACAGTATGGTTGAGTGGAAAAACAGGGGTTTGGAGTCAGATCAGACACACTTGGATTTGAATCACATATCTCCCACCTATTGGCTGTGAGACCTCAGGCAAGTCACATAATCTGTGAAGCTTAACTTTGTCAAATGTAAAAATGGGTATAACAATAGTATAAGAAGAATATGTACCTCACAGCGTTGTGACAGGCTCACTGAGATAGTATATGTAGGCTGGTGTATGTTGGTTATCTCTCTTTCCCCTTACTCCTCTCGTGCTGGCCTGCCTCCCTGATTTTCTCAGTTCCCTTTAGCTCTTTAACGCACTTTTCTGTAGCTCTTTCCCTTCTTTATTCCCATCCGTATAATGAAATGACTATTGTCAAGATCAGCAATGACTTCCTAAAGGATAATCTTGAGTTTATGTATTTCCTGACTGCTCTGAAACATTTCCGGTTGTTGATCTCTCCTTTTTCAGGCCACTCTTTCCATGAAATCACTCTATTCCGGTTCTCCTCTTTGCTCTAACTCGTGTTATTCATCCATCACTTGAATCAATTAATTTCCCTTCTTCTGCCTTCCCCTTAAATGTTCAGAGTTCTCCCAGGCTTCAGCCTCCACCTTTTCCCTTTTCTCTCCGTACATCCTTGCCAGGGCCTGGACTAGGGTGAGGTAAACAAGGCATTTAGGGCACAAAATTTAAGGAGGCACTCTGTCTCCGTGTGTGCAAGTGCATTTATGCCCTACGTGCCTTGCTAGCCTCACCCTAGTCCAGCCCTGACTCTTTCAACACAATTTTCTGAGCACTGACTACTGCCAGGCACTCTGCTAGGTCCACGGTTTCCATGCTCATTCCCTGGATCCTCACACACCCATAGTTGTAAGTATGTTTATACAACAGTGAGTTCCAAATAGCCATCTCTAGTCAAATGTATCTTCTGAATTCCAGATTGTCTTTCCAGCTGCCTAACTGTACATCGTAATGCAGCTGAGAGCTGATGTTTATTTAATGCTTCTGATGTGCTGGACACTGCTCAGTGCTTTGCATCCATTATTTCATTCCATCCTCACAGCAGTCCCATGAGGTACGTACTGTCATCTTATTTTTGTAAATGAGAAAAATGGAGGTTCAGAGAGGTTAAGTAATTTGCCCCAGGTAACATACTAAAGTGTCAGAACCAGGATTTAGACTATGGCAGTGAGACTGCACAATCCGTGCTCTTAGGCACTGTGCTATGTCCCGTAATCACATCAAATGCCCAAGACATACTCTATACACTTCCCCTAAACCTGTTCCCCTTCCATACCCAGAGAGTTAAGTCATATCATTTCTGCTTCCTTAATGTCACTTGAATTCCTTTTCCTCTTCTCTGTCTGTACAGCTGATGTCCAGGTTCAGGCCCTCGTGCCTTCTCTGGATGATTGCAATGGCCTCAAGACTGATTTCCGTTAGTCTTGCCACCTCTTCCTCAAACAGTTCATTAGAATGTTGCCGGACTGAGCGTCCTAAATCAGCCATCAGTGGCGTTCATGTTTACACTTCTGATGACTCCACATTGTGTTCTACTGTCCAAACTCCCTAGTTTAGGGCCTTCATTCTCTGATGACCTGATCCTTCCTAGCTCTTCTGCCTCACTTGTCGTGTTCAATATTCAAAACATACTGAGTTCCTGAAAGACCTCGCGCTCTACGTGGATTTGGATCTTTGCACATGAGTGATCCTCTCTGCATAGAATGGCCTAGATAAGACGTTTAAGGAGAGTGAATCTACTCATCTTTTAATACCCAACTCAAAATATTGTCTCTCTGTCAAGTGTTTCCCAGATAATGTAGTCCTTTCTCTATGGTCCTTTAGCGCCTGGTACAGATTTTATCGCATTATATCGAAATCTCTCACCTGACCTCATGGTGCTTTAGGTCAAAGAGGGAGTCTGTTTAGTCCTCATGTCCCTAGTACCTGGCACCATAGTAGTCACTTAGTTTTGTAAAGTGTATGGACCGAAGCTGTCTTTCATTCATTCGTTTCATTCATTCATTCTGAATGAAAGACAGCTTCAGTCCATACACTTTACAAAACTGAATTGGTTTCCCAGACCAGTTTTGATTTCAAAATTACAAATTGATGCAATAATACGTAAGGGCAGCAGCCATGAAAATCCAACATCTCAGTAAATCATTCATAGAAACTGCTTTTAGAAGCCAGTGACAGTTTAACAGCAAAAGAGAGTGCTGCATCAATACTGTCCATCCTTAGGGAAATGCCCCTAGCTCTCTCCTCAAGGGCCTATTATTTCTGAGTACAGTGATTCCAGAATCACACTGCCTTTCTCCTCAGTATTGTCCGTGGGTCGTATATTTAACCTCTCTTCAGGTTTATCTCTTCTAGTCATTATTTCCCCCACTCTGAAATCCTTGTCCCTCTTTTTTTCTCTGTGTCTATCCTTTTTCCAACATCTGAGGTCTTCAAGGGGGCAGTACCCCTCTTAAAACCTCCATCATCTTACCACTTATCTTGAAGGAAGGGATTGGATCCTTTGTCCTCCTAGATCTCACATTGATTAGTTATATGTAAAGACTGAGCTTTATGTCCTACTTTGTGAGTTTTCCAGCTAAATTTCTTTATTCCTCGACTATACCCACTTTGCTAGTTTGATTTAACCTTTGCGTTCTCGCACCATTATTTCTGCATTTCAGACTGACATCATGTCTGGAGTGGGAACCACGGGGCCAGTCTGCTTTCTGGGGACACTTAGGGTTGGCACCCCTGCTCCTGCTCCTGTCAGCTACTAGATTTGATTATAGTAGGTTGACAACTAAGTGTGATAAATGCTTCCTGTGAGAACATGCTGTTTGTCTGAATGGGGAAATTTCTTCCCTGTGTGCTTTCCTTTGGGGAATGCATAAAGTGACTGAAGTTGTGAAAAAACAAAGTGATATACATTGCACTAACTAAGTTCCTACTATTTACATCAATTCTTGGACTTTTTTTGCTCCCTTAAGAGCTCGAGTATTGAATATCCCCATACATTAACTCTAAGATGTTTAGAGTCAGAGAGAAAATAATTTCTTCCTAATCCATGAAAAACTTTGGTGATAAATAAGAACTTACTAATGAAAAGTTTGTCTGTGCTTTAACTAAAACTTTAAATTGAAGGTATATAATTTTACAGATTTTTAAAAATAGAGACATGCCTCATAGTTCTGAAATTTTGAAACACGTTATATATCTTAAAATCAAACTTTTTGTGTAAATAGAACAATTGTTTGTAGCTTTAATGTTTCCCATTTTGATTTCAAAGTGGTGAGTAAAAAAACCCCAAAATAACAGAGTTAATTTTTTCTCCATTTCTGCTGTTTCTTTGTTAAAACATTTTCCCACTTTTAATTTTTTTTTAACCAAGGAGATGACTGTTTTCTAAGAGAAATTACATTGTCAAATCATAAGCCCAACAGTGTCCATTAAAAAAAATGTACCATGAGCATTGTAAATCTATTTTGTTTTAAAAATGAAGAAGACACAGCTACCAAAGAACCAGTGCATATCAACTCACATGCTGACTGCTAGAATCTTAAACATTGCTGTCAAATCCTATAATCATTATTTAGTGAAGAAGACAACACCAGACATTTCTATATCTAAAAGACAAGCATACTTAATGTATCTTTAAAAAGGAAACAAACCTGTACATTCAGCACTGAGTAGATATCCTAAAAGGCAGATGGTGACGAGGCCCAGTGATTCTGCCATGATCTTGTTCAGGCACTGCATAACCTTTGCTAGTAAATTGTGCAAGTAGCAAGGTTGACCAATTGTTCCAAAGTACAAGCTGAGCTGTATTTACTTCTGGGAAACAATGTCCATCTCCCTCAGTGGGTCTTTGGGCTCTTTCCAGTGACCTCTTGGGTTAAGTGTAGAGAATAGGCAGTGGCCATCATTAAACTTCACCTCTGATTCAATGGGCTTCTGCCACCGTGGCTGATTGGAAGCTGAAGCGTGCAATGACACATCATCAGAATAGGTATAATGGCTACAGTTGCTGTGGCAGCAAAATTCGTCAGTGAGATCCATCTTATTCTTGTCAGGGAGCACTAATGTCATATTAAAAGGTAAAGAGATGGAAAGAACAAAGTGATTTGGTCACCCACTTCAAAACATCCCCAATGCTTATATACCTTGAGTCACTTGGTAGATCCTTTATGTTCCTCCTCATAATGAGGAGTTTGTAAACTTTGTTGTGCCATCTACCCATATGGTAAAACATATGGACCCTGTTTCAGAGCACATGTATGTATGTGTGAGTGTATATGTATGCATATATACTTATATATTATGTATATAAAGTAAATATGAATATTATTATATAATAGTTTATATTAATATATTATACCACTTCACATATAATATAAAGAACTCGTAACAGTATACTAACATTTACATACCATTCTTTGCATTGTTGTGATTTTATTTCTATATGTTATAAACCCTATATTACCTTATTAGTACTTTTGCTTTAAGAAGTCAACAGTCTTTCAAAGAAATTTAAAAATGAGGAAAAATGTTTTATATTTAGCCACATACTTACCATTATGATATTCTTCATTTCTTTGTATAGATCCAAGTTTCAATCTTACAATTTTTCATCTCTCTGAAGAATTTTCTTTCATAGTTTTGATAGTGTGGGTTTTCTTATGATGAATTTTTCACCTTTTGTTTATTTGAAAATGTCTCCGTTTTACCTTCATTTTTACAAAGTAATTTGGCTGCATATACAATTCTAGATTGACAGTGTTTTTCTTTCTGTCAGCACATTAACAATGTCATCCTGTTGCCTTTTAGCATGCATTGTTTCTGATGAGCAGGCAGTGAATATTTTTATCATTGATTTTCAGCAATTTGACTATAATAAGCCAAGGTATTCTTGGAGTTCATTGAGATTCTTGGATCTGTGGTTTGATATTTTTATTAAAATTAGGAAAGGTTTTGGACCTTACTTTTTAAAATTTTGTTTTGAAATAATTATAGAGTCACAGGAAACTGCAAAAACAGTACAGAGAGGTCCCATATACCTTTCACCCATTGACTCCCAAAGTTTACATCTTACAGAAGTCTAGTACATTATCAAAACCAGGTAATGGACATTTGTATAATGTATGTGCATAATTCTAAGTGATTTTATTACATGTGTAGATTTATGTAACCACCACTACAATCAATATACAGAACAATTCTATCACCACAAAGATGTCCCTTGTGCTACTATTTTATAATCATACCCACCTCCCTCCTACTAATTATTCCTAACCCCTGGCACTACTAATCAGTTTTCAGTCTCTATAATGAGACTGTTGTATAAATGGAATCATAGAGTATTTGACATTTTGAGATTGGCTTTTTTCATTCAGCACAATGTCTCTGAGATCCATCTAGGTTGCTGCATGTTTCAATAGTTAATACGTTTTTATTGCTGACTGGTATTCCATGGTGTGGATGTACCACAGTTTGTTTAACTATCCATCTATTGAGGGACATTTTGATTATTTCCAGTTTTTTGCTATTGCAGTAATGTGCTATGAAAATTCATGTACAGGTTTCTATGTGGATGTAACTTTTTAATTTCTCCAGGATAAATGCCCAGGAATGCAATTTCTGGGTCATATTGTATTTGAATGTTTAGTTTTTAAATAAACCACCAAACTGTTTTCCAGAAAGGCTGTACCACTTTACATTCCCACCAGTAATGGATGAGTGATCCAGTTTCTAGGCATCCATGTAAGCACTTGGTATTGTCACTATTTTTTATTTTAGACATTCTGATAGATGTGTAGTGATAACACATTTTGTTTTAATTTGTATTTCCCTAATGGCTAATGATATTGAACACCTTATCATTTACTTATTAACCATCTGCATATCTTCTTCAGTGAAATGTCTGTTCATGTCTTTTGCCCATTTTCCAATTAGACTGTTTGATTTTTTACTGTTGGATTTTGGAGTTCTTTATATATTCTAGATACGTATCTTTTGTCCGATATATGGTTTGCAAATATTGTCTCCAAGACCATGGATTGTCTTTTCATCCTTGTAACTAGGTCTTTCATACAGTCAAAATTTTGAATTTTGATATAGGTCAATTTATCATTTTTTAATGGATTACACCTTTAGTGTCATATTTAGAACTCTTCCACTGACACTAATCCTGAAGCTTTTTCCTATTTTTTAAAAAATATTTTATAGTTTTAAGATTTAGATTTATGCCTGTGCTCCATTTTGAGTTAATTTTTGTGTAAGGTATGAGATTTAGGTTGAGCTTCATTTTTTTTTTGTCTATGGATGTCTGATTCCTCCAGCACCATTTGTTAAACAGACTATCTATTCTTTCCATTGCACTGCTTGTGCAATTTTTTCACAAATCAGTTGAGTATATTTCTAGGTTCTCTATTCTGTTCCATTTCTGTATGTATTTATCCCTCTGCCAATATCACACTGTCTTGATTATGAAGCTATATAGTAAGGCTTTATATCAGGTAGAGTGATTCCTCCCACTTTAATATTCTGTGACAAGATTGCTTTCATTATTCTACGGCTGTAAATTTCCATATAAATTTTAAAAAATAATCTTATCTGTAGCTACAAAAACTCTTGCTGGGGTTTTGGTAGGAATTGCGTTAAACCTGTTTGTAAATTTGGAGGCTCTGACATCTTCACTATGTTGACTTTTCTGATTCGTGGACATGGTATGCACATGTATGTCTCTCCATTTATTTAGGTCTTTGATTTCTTTCATCAGCATTTTGTAATTTTCAGTGTATAGATCTTATACATATTTTGGTAGTTGTAAACCTAGGTATTCATTTTCTTTGGAGTAATTGTAAATACTATTGTATTTTTAATTTCTGTTTTCACATATTATTAGTAAGTAGGAATGCAATTGAGTTTTGTGCATTGATTTTGTATCTTCTAACCGTGACGAAATCACTTATTTAGTTCTAGGAGGTTTTTTTCTCTTTTTATAGATTGCTTGAGGTTTTCTATGAAGACAATTATGTTATCTGCAAATAGGTGTAGTTTTATTTCTTCATTTCCAATCTGTATGCCTTTGTACATACTTTTTGCCTACCATAGTTGCTAGAACTTCCAGTACTACGTTGAATCACAGTGGTGAGATCAAATCTCCTTGCCTTGTTCCTGATCTTAGTGGGGAAAGCATTCAGTTTTTCTGCAATAACTATGATGTTAGATGTAGGCTTTTTGTAGATGTTCTTTATTGAGTTGAGGTAATACCCCACTTTCCTGACTTGCTGGGATTTTTTTTTTTTTTATCATGAATGGGTACTGGATTTTATCATGCTTTTTCTGGGTCAATCGATATGATCATAGGATTTTCCTTCTTTAGTTTCTTGATAATGTGGATTATGTTGATTGATTATTGAATGTTGAACCAGCCTTGCAGCCCTAGAAAAAATCCCACTTGGTCATAGTATATTTATATTTTTATACATTTTTAGACTTAGTTGGCTATTATTTTGTTGAAGATATTTCCATGTAATTTCATGAATGGTATTGGTCTTTAGTTTTCTTTTTTGTACTACCTTTATCTGGTTTTTGTATATGGTAATAATGGCTTCCTAAAATGAGTTGGGAAATGCTCCCTCATCTTGTATTTTCTGGAACAGTTATGTAAAGTTGATGTTAATTCTTTATATGCTTGGTAGAATTCTCCAGTGAAACAATCTGGGCCTGGGGATTTCTTTTTTGGGAGCTTTTTAATTAAAAATTCAATTTCTTTCATTGTTGTAGAGCTATTCAGATTATCTACTTTTTCTTATTTGAGTTTTGCTGGTTTTCTATTTTCAAGGAATTTGTCTATTTCTTCTAAGTTGTTGAATTTATGAGCATAAAGTTGTTTGTAGTATTTCCTTATTATATTTGATGGTTGCAGGATCTGAGTAATAGCCTCTATTTCGTTCCTGATATTGGTGATTTGTTTCTTCTCTTTTTTTCCTTTCAGTGTTGCCAGAGGTTTATCAATTTTATTGATTTTTTCAAAGAACCATCTTTTTGTTTCATTAATTTTCTCTATTGTTTTGCTATTAATTTCATTGGTTTCTGCTCTGATATTTATTATTTCCTTCCTTCTGCTTGCTTTGTGTTTATTTTTCTCTTCTTCTTATAATTTTTTGAGGTAGGAACTTAGATTATTTATTTGAAATCTTTCTTCATTCTAATGTAATCATTACTGCTATTAATTTCTTTCTTGGCACTGCTTTAGCTGCACCCCACAAAATTAATATATTATATTTTTATTTTTATTCAGTCAGGTATATTGTTTGATTTCCCTTGAGACTTCCTCTTTCAAACATGGCTTATTTAAAAGGTAGTTGTTTAATTTTCATGTGTTTAGATATTTTCCTATTGTCTTTCTGTTATTGATTTCTAGTTTGATTCCACTATTGTCAGAGAACATACTCTGTATGATTTAAGTTCTTTTAAATTTGTTGAAGTTTGTTTTATGGCCCAGAATATGGTCTATATTTGTGAATGTTCCATGGCTCTTGAAAAAAATGTGTATTCTGCTATTGTTGGGTGGAGTGTTCTACATATGTCAATTAGATCCTGTTGGTTGATTGAGTTGTTCTTCTGTGTTGCTAATTTTCTGTCTAGCAGTTCTATCAGTTGCTCACTGGGGGATGTTGAAGTCTCCAACTATAATTTTGGATTTGCTTATTTCTCCTTTTAGCTCTATCAGTTTTAGCTTCATGTGTTTTAAGGCTCTGCTTTTTGGTGTGACACATTTAGGGTCTTCG